TATATATATATATATATATATACAATCAACACGCCAACTTATGGTGTGGTGATAAATGATTGGGCATGAGGATACTCTTAGCGACTCGGTCGACTTTACACAGCTCGCACAACAACACAGCCTAAAAGGCAATTGGTTTGATGCGCTTGAGCATCCGAAGGATTCAAAAGGTGAGCGTCCTCTTGCAGGCAGTCCATCTGCCGCTGCCACGTCCAAGTCGCAAACTAATCCCTCAAAAGGGGTTCTACACAACCAGCATCCCATAAGCGAGGGGAATACAAAGCGCTTTTCCTACACGACCTTGGCTCAACATCACAACAATACTCACACCAACCAGAGACAAAGTGAAGCCACTTCTGCAAGGAGTTCGCTGCAAACGGCGCCCACGAGCTCCCCACAGGGTGAATTAGAAGAAAACCGCAAAGTAGATTTTATGCCATTAAATGAACATACTAAGACTTATACGAATACAATGATGACGGCACCAGCACTTCATCAAGCCAAGGCAGAGCTCAAAAAACTTAGAAAACATCTGGTTCATCCGAGAAATCAGGCCGAGTGTTTGCATGATGATGCTAATCCCAAACCACAATCCATCCCAGAGCCTTTTCCAGGCCACAACGCCCTATCAGAGGCTGCTGACGAAATTAACTGCTCTGCTATTATTCATGCGCTTTCTCAGATTGAAGGGTCGACGGTAATGTCGATGGGCCAACTGTCCTCAATGGCGCGCGATCGCGAGGTTGGCCCAAGCGCCGGCTCTGGCCGAGGGGAGGCGTTATACGATTACGGCATGCGCACTAAGATTGCCAGAGAGCAATGGGTCACCCTTGAAAAGGCACGACAAGAAATTCTAGAAACCGCGCGAATCAAGCGGGATTGCACGTTCACGCCCAAGCTCTCTCCGTATGCCGCGCGTATTCACCGTCCGGTGATGCTACGCCCCGATCTCCGCGCGGAGTCGGAGCTTCGTCAGAGGGAGCGCGCCCTCGCGGAGCGCAAACGCCAAACCATCGAACGGGAGCTCGAAGACTGTACGTTTCGCCCGCTGACGTTGAGCCTGGCGCGTCTGAAGTCGACCCCGCCGGAGGCGGATTCCCGCGTCTTCCGCGCGCTCTACCAGGACGCGAAACGGCGCGAGTACTGCCAGGAGGTGGTGGCGCCTTACGTGGTCCGGCAGATCGAGCAGCACGCCCGGTACGGCACGCGTTCGGCCCAGCCCATGACCTCCGAGGCGGTCAGCGCCGTGGTGGAGCGGCTCTGCCTCAAGCGCGCGACGCCGGTGGTGGCGGACCCCGCCACGACCTTTGGGCCCGTCCTGACCCCCAAAACCCAGGCGATCATCCAGGGGAAGTTGATCAAGGGGGAGCGGTGCCCCGACGTGGTGTCCGAGTTGACGGAGAACCAAGAACTGCTCCGCGTGAGGCGGCTGCTGGAGCGGGAGATTCAGCAGGAGCAGGCGGCCCGGCAGGTTTCGACCGCCGCCACGCGGGCGGCGCAGCGGCGGCGGCTGGCAGGGGCCCACACTCGCGCCTTGCTTTCGGCTAAATT